GTGGCTGGGGAAGGGATGCGGGACGGTGCCGGTGCGAAGGTGCCGGCTGCGTTACGGGCAGGGCAGAGCAGAGGCTGTGGAGGGAGGCCGTCAGAGCGCAGCTGCCTCAGCCTTTATCTGCTGCTCGTTGTTGGAGAACAAAGAGGATCAATTAAGTGCGTGCTGTTACTGCTGTTTCTCTGCCTTCGGTAGGTGCGCTTTGAGAGTCGAATTGGAATGCCCTTCTTCCCGTCATTCTCTGAGGAAGAAGTGTTTTTTCAGTTAATCGATGGCATCTTGGCATTTGAGCTGAGTATTTGGACCTGGACTGAGACGGGAAAAGGCCTCATAGCACTAATCAGCACAATACACGTTTAAAAAGCAGCCAGTTTAGTACATTAAACGCAGCCTCTCTTTTCTGAGACTGAAGCAGATGTGCCCTTCAAAGTCTTCCATAGGATTCTTCTGAGACATATAGTAGAATGGATCAGAAGCAACGCACAGCTGTTACTTCATTTTTCCCTGCTTTTGCATGTCTCTTAATTGCATTTGAATACATTTTTTTGTTACTGTCACCTTTTCAGTATTTGAAAAAATAAAGGAAAAAAATAATGTGGTCCTAATAAATTTTGCTGTCAGTATCAGCGCGATTTAAGCATGTTGCAGTCATACATGCTAATATGTAACACTCTGAGACTATTTCATTTTACAGCATCCTGGAGACAGTTACTAATTACATTTCTCATCATCCTGTAGAGGTAAACAGTAGCATATTTTGGCCCAGGCTTTGCGAAGTATCAGAGTAGTTCTGCCAGTTTAAATGTGACTGTCCGCCTGCTTAAATACTTTGCAGAATATGTGCCTTTGTAGATTAGCAAATTGAGGTGAGGTTAACTGACTTGCTCAAGGTCATGGAGTGTCTAGTGACAGAGTTAGCCATAATGGAATCTGGCCATCCTGGGTCTGTGCTCCAGTCATTGGATGACTCTCCCGAATGATTGCAGGTAGTTTAAACATTGGTTTGCGTAAGTGCACGTTAAGGCCTTCAAAAACTTTTGGAGAAACAAAATGTTAATATATCTGCTTCAGATCATGTGCTTATATGTAGCTTAAAGCAATTGCTCAGCTTGACATAGGAGGGAATTTTCTAGAAGACTTTGTGGCTTCATTTGTAAATATGTGCTCAAAAGGCATCAATTGAGTATATAGTGTGGAAAGGCTTATTGTGTAGATTTATAGGGTAGATCTTGAGAAATAACAAAAATAGATTACACTGTAATTAGACAATTTTTAAAAGGAGAATGTGGAGACTATGACTGTAAAGAGGTTATCTTCTGAATAAAGTGTTTACCAGATGACATTCTGTAGAGTTATTTGCAGTTGTTAGGAGAAAAAAACAACCAACAAGCACACTCAGTGATGAGGCTGTTGGCAGTTAAAATGGGAACAAAAAACTTCCTCGCTTGATTTATTTTTTCAGCAGATACTTGTTAAATAAAAACAAGTCACAATTGGTGTTATTTCTGACCCTAGAGAGAAGAACGTTTCGCTTGGTGTTTTTCTCTGTCAGGTTAAATTTATGAAGAAAGGGATTTCAAAGGGAACGCTGGCAGATCTGTGCTATTGTGACACCAGCAGTATATATTTAGTAACTTAAGGAAGGAAAGATCCTTATTGTGCTAAAAAAAATAAAAATCAGTGACAATTGTTTGTCTGGACTTCAAAGAGCATTGGAAGGCAAGCCGGCGTTGTTCAGATGTTGCACTTTGGCCCGTGTCCTGTAATGAGCATTGCATTTGATGGATTCCTGCACCTGCGGGGAGTTTCTTTGGCGGTACTAGGAGAAGCCCATTTGCCCAGTGTAGGTCACGGAGTTTTGACCACAGATCTTGGGTTTGTGCAGGTTTGTTTGTGCTTACCGTTCTGTTCTGCAAGTGATCATGGTGACTGTTGGCTACCAACTTTAGTGATCGTCGTGAGAATCCGCAGCACTGCAAGGCACAGCGTAGAAGAGCCGCAGTCAAGTTGCTTTTAAATGAACTGGCTGGGGCACCGAGGGCAGCCAGCTGTAGCCTTATTCTGAACAGAGCACTGCTTTAGGGTTAATCTGTGCAGAGAAGTTGTGGCGATACAGACTTTCTCTGGAAAAGCCTTTGCAGTTTTTTTTGTTGATGAGCGCTGTATGAATGGTATGCTCTTGTTAATTAATTAATTAACCATCACATCTTCCCAACGTCTGTATAGTTTGTAATGCAGTCTTGGGGACAAGTGCTTTTACTGCTGTCACTTGGTGAGACATCCCAACAAGGTGACTTCTGAGCCAAAAAGAATGCTGGTTGCTTGCTTTCAAATCTGGAAGTTTGTATGCTGAATGACACTGCTGTGTCAGCAAACGTGTCTACTGTAGGCCTGGGTTTGCCATATTTTTCTTTTGCCAGTTTGAGCAGTAACTTCTTATCCAGCCAAGTTAAATAAGAAGAGGAAGCAATATGGGCTATACTTCGTAAGATTTCTGGCTTTCCACGTGCACGTCATGGAATCCTGGAAGGTTTGTGCACTGTGTTTTCAACGGATGCCTAAGGAAAATGAGGCTGTTAATAGGCTTAGTGATCCACACCTCCACTGATGTTGGGATTTGTGAGTTTTTGGACACCTAAACAGTCGCCGCTGGCTGAGCTGAAGAAACTGGACTTTTGGTATGATGCCAGGAATCAGAATGAGACACGTGCAGTATTTAAATACAAAACTTAAAACATCAAAATAATACTAATTATTCTAAAGAATATTTTTTAAAATGTATTAAATATAGTCACTTAAAAATGTCTATCAGTAGTTTGCTATTGGTTGTACAGTAGTTTAAAACATTAACTAGGAAAAACCAACTTGTTAATTTCAAAGATTGCCTAGATTTCTGTTACACATAGTGTATGCAGTGTAGGTATGTATGAGAACCAAAGATTCTCACATATGCTTACTGCACACTCCATCGAGCTGATTTCTGTATTAAAAAAAGATAATTCTTAATCTGCCTATGAGAAGTTTCAAAAGAAGTTATTTTGTATTCCTACAAGCTGGCATTTTTTTCACATTAGCTCTTTGTATAGGCTTAATATGTTTGAGTGAAACAATGAATCTCACTTTGCAATAGTACATGAAGTTGTTCAAGAAATAATGCTTACACTTGGAGCACAAAGCGATTTCAGAGTCTGTTAATTCTTATGAAACAAGAGGGATTCACCAAAATTCTAAGAAGCACTCGGAACCCAAATTGCCACTTACAGAGCTATTTCTTTTTCTAGACTTTTCTTAATAAGGTAGTAGAACATCAACTTGGAACAGTATCATTGGGGATTTGTTTTCAGAATATTATTAGCAGCGTTTCAGTGAACTGGAAACAAACCTGTGCTCTGAACAGAAACTAGATCTTGGGGAGAGACATTCCAGTGAGAGCCATGAATTTAAATTCTACAGGGATGATTTGCTGGTTTAAAAAATAAATAAATTTAAAAGCTTAGTTTGCAAATAAGAATCGGAACCTGTAAATCTAAAGATATGACAGGTGTACTCTGGTAAACACCTAAACTTGTGTTTTGAGTATGAAACATGTATCTGGTGCTTGGAAGTATGAACATCACGATGTTTAGAATGCAAAAATAAACATTTGGTTTTGAGTGTTTGTAATACTAGGGCTATTTGCCACTAGAAAGTTTGGAACTAACCTTAAGGTGCAAGCCATCAGTTTGTTAGACTGGAGAACAGCCGAAACGGACCTTGTTTTATAAAGCCTCATTGGAAGTTGAAATGACAGCAAATGAGTCAGTAAGAAATTTTTGTTCTTCTAATATTTTCTAGTGCAGAATAAAATAAAGTCTCAAAGGACACCTTCAGTTTGTAATTAACCCATAGGAGCAACAGTAAAATAGGACGTTCTTGGGGGAAAAAATAGCTGTTTCACTATGTTTTGTCTGTAGTGTGTAAAGTCAGTGGTACGTGTGCTGAGGAGTCTGGCCTTAATTTCGTTTTATGAATTACATTTGGGATTGTTGCCTGCTCAGGTCATGGGTTCTGGTTTTAGTTGTGGAACATCGCTCAAAAAAACCCAGAACTGTGAGGTGGCAGAGGGAGAATTATGATGGTTGTGCTTTGGTTTGAGACAGTGGTGGTAGAAAGCCTGCCTTATTTTTTTAATCAGATGGTAAATCCCAGATCTGTTTGGTATCATTCATCCCAGTTATTTTCCAAGTTGCTGCCTGTAACTACCGTGCAATTGTAACAAGAGTTGAGTTTAAACAAGGTGTGAAGGTGTTCCCCATTCTTTTGTTCTGAATCTGGGATTAGACATACCTCAGTGCCTATGTGAGCAGATACCTAAATTATTACCTCATCCGGGAAGGTCACTGCTGAGAGATTCCTCCCTAAACGGTGACGACTGCTGCCTCACATCTTTGTGTTTCCTCATTTCTGCTCTGTTTTTTTCTCAGATGTTAGTGTCCTGAGGCAAGGAGGGGATATCTTTTTGTTGTGGTTCAATTTGTGTTGCTAGGACCCAGCATAAGCAAGCGCTTAGTCCCTAGTTGTGGACTGGGACCCCAAAATGCTGCCATGATACACTGAAGAGGTGGTTATCCATTTATTTTATAGCTGTTAAATAGATGGAAACCCGATGCAATTTTTTTTTTCTATTTCCATATGTTTGAAGGAACTTAAGTAAAGGTAGATTCATAACCAAGCATCATGTTCTATATTTTTACACCTTTGTTGACTGCCTCAGTTTGGTATAGACTTAGGGAAATAATCTTCTTGCCTTTTCTCTTTTTTTTCCCCTTTAGAATTGCCAAAATGCTTTGGAATTCTTAAACGATTTGAAAACTGAAGTCTCTGAGGATACAAAATCATAAGAACACAAGAAGCAGCAAGGAGGATTCAGTGCCAATGCAGCAACAAAGAAGACAGCCAGAGTTAGTGGAAGGAAATCTTCCTGTTTTTGTCTTTCCTACAGAACTTATATTTTATGCAGATGACCAGTCAACACACAAGCAGGTGTTGACTCTGTATAACCCCTATGAGTTTGCCTTAAAATTCAAAGGTGGGTTTCTTAGGTTAAGTTCTATTTAAGGGTTAGTTGGTGATCTTGAACAGTCCAATTATAATTCATGTAACAAGTTGTATTTGTGACAAAACCAAACTTGTGTCTTTGCCTACATTTGTTGCTGAAGGTAGTGAGGCATTAATTAATGATTTGTTACCACTGCTGTCCTTTTCGTTGCAGTTCTTTGTACAACTCCAAACAAATATACGGTGGTTGATGCTACTGGTGCAGTGAAGCCTCAGTGCTGTGTTGATATGTGAGTACAAGTTCGTTGTTTTTTTATCTTTTTCTAGTCTATGACATTTCGTTATCTTAATGTCTTTTATTATTTAAGAGGTAGTAAATGACAGCATGCATAGTATAAAATAAGTTGGATAAAGATGTATTTTCCTAATCTCCTGTATTTTTGTGGCCATCTGGTCTTTGCTATTCTTTCAGTCTGGGGCAAAGGTAAGTCACGATATTGGGAGATATTTCCTTCTTTAATTTTGTCTTTAGGCATAAATAAAAGGCTAGTAAATGCATCCTGTAGTATAGTTTGTAAACCAGCAGCGAGAGTAATACGAGCCTCCTCCGAGTACTTTTTTGTTAGAAATAACAAGAAAAGCAGGACCCCCAGGGCTGGGATTTCTTTGTGAGAAATACTTGTTTGCAGATTGGCAAAATGAAAGTGTATGTGGCTCTACTGAGCACACTTTCCTGGGCCATGCTTAATAAAGATACTTTTGCCTACCTTTCACCCCAAACGCCTCTCTTGTTCTCAGATCTCTCTGTCTCCCCTTTACCTGTTTCTCCTGTCAGGTCCCAACCCAATAACAGAGAAAATAAGAAGGCTGGCTAAGTGACCACAATAATGTGTAGGGTCTGTAGGCTGCTACAGTTTGAAGCAGAGTAGGTATATAAGCTAAAATAGACCAACTTTTTTCATCTTCCATTTGCCACATTATTTCTGTGCTGATGTACAGATACAGCTAAAGAAAGCATTAAGTACCTAGACGAGCAGACTGAGCTTTCTGAATAGACATTTGTGAACTGTAAAACACCTTCTGGAATCTCTGGCTAACAAATGATCATATGCAAAAAGCTCTGCTGTTGAATGATCTGTCTTTTGTCAGATAAATAATGCTGTGCTTGGGGAATGGCTCTTTCCTGTAGACTGTTTTCCTTAGGTGTAATTTGGAAAATTCCAAGGACTCACCAAATATAAGGGAAGTTTAAAACACAGACCTAAAGAGTTTAAGTGGGCAGGGGCAACAACCCTAAAAATGGAACAAAACAGGTCAGAATATACCAGTGTATCAGTGAGCTATTCCAGTCTTTAGCAGACATTTACACAATCTTGATTACGTTTGGTTAATCTTATACTAATGTATTTTATTAAATAAAGGAAAGTAAGACATATGTGCATTTCCACAGGATTCTTTTTTGTGCATCAAAACCCCCATCCCATTCCAATGGTTGCTGCCTAAGGGCAGCGTTTACTGTTAGGATATGAGCAGTACTGTGCAAGTATGGCCATTTGCCAGATAAACAGATATTCTACAGAGCTTCCAATTATGCAATGGTCTCTAAAAAGAAACAGGAGAATGGATCTGTTTATAAGGGTCTGCAGAAAATATCTCTTTGCTTGGCAGCAGATGCGTGTTCTCATAGCACAGTGTTATGCAAAGATTCTGTTTAGGTTGGTGGTTAGTACCATGGTACTAAGAGTAGAAACAAAAATTTAAAAGGAAGTGTTAAAGGAAGAAATAAGAGTTGAATCTGCTGTTCTGATATGCTGAGAGTTGTATGAATTAGGATTGTTGGGGGGGAAAAAGCCTTTTGTTTTAGTGAAGGCAGTTGCCCAGCCAACACTCAGTGTGCTGAAAGCCTGTCATAAGCACACTCTTTTGTCTCTGAGGTGACGTAAAATGGCGTTCCTGCAGCCTTCTTGCTTGGGGGATGACTTAGTCTCTGTTTCCGTGTTGGTCTGTTCAAACTAGATACCGGTTACAAGCACTGGCTACGTGTTAATGATTGTAGGTATCTTGACGTGATAGAGTTCCTTTAAATGAAGACTGAAGCACAAAAATCTGTTTCTTGCAGTGTTTTAATGTATATATTATCACAAAGATAGGTTTCTTGAAGCAATTTTAAGACTACTATCCTGTATTACTAAGGGTAGAATCCTTTTTTTCCCCTCAGGAGATGGCAACCTTCTTGAAGCCAAATCACTTGTATGTAGGTATTTTTTCAGATTAGCTATTGTTATCTTAGAAATTTAAATTGCCTTTCACAAAAAATGTTTTCCACTTTGGAAAAATAATTAAAATCCATATTAATCCTAAGAATTAATGTGACTTCAAAACCTAGGTGTTCTAGCTTTTTAATGCTAGATACGTGTTTTCATAATGAATCATAAATGTGGAGAGGAGGCAGTCAAGCAGAGCACTGCTCAGAGCTCTGTATTGCCTTTGATCAGTGTTATTGTAAAACTGTGCCTTTTGTAGGTCCCCCATACATATTTTTTTTTCCCCATGAAATGCCATAAAACTAGAAAGAATGCAACAACTATCCCCCTGTCTTATTGTTGAAGCCATCTTGGTCAACATATTCAAAACAGTAGAGCAACAGAGTGGTTGCTGGACAGTGAGAAGGTTTACCAAGAAAATAACTGACTCTCTAGCTATAACTCAGAAGATACGCCTACCCTGCAGTCCGAGTTCTGATTGCAGCTTATGTAGCTACACCTGGTATCACTCTCGGTAACTAGTGAAGGATCTGCAGCATCATGCATTTCAATGCAGGCTACGAAATGTGCTCTAGGTAGCTAGATTGATGAGCAAAGCTCTGACAGCACAGAGCTCTGCTATTGGTATCCAGATTTACTCCCTGAAAGACAGGTGAGAAATGTTTCTGTAGATGCATAGCTCTCATTTTTACTGCACTGTTACATGCTCTTAATGGTGGGCTTCTGATTTTGAAAATGCCTTTGCATCTAGCTGACTCTTGTCCGTAGAGGGAAGGAGTTTTCCTTCTGAGAAAGTATAATTCTAAAGCTTTGAGCCTTGTTTCCTCACAAACCTAGGCTTTTGCCATCACCTGTCTAAGTGTTTGGCAGTCCTCCTTTTCTTCTTTCCTTCCCTGTCCACTCCAGTCTCCCCATACCTTTTAAAGTCGTTGGCCAGTGTCAAAAAACTTTGATAAAAGAGGAAGCATCTTTCAGATAATTGATGTTTCATGCAAATTGGCAGCTTGGCCTCAGATTGAGGGAAAGGTGTGCTTGAGATAAAGAATTAATTGTTCTTTTTGGCCGGCCAATTGGAGCATGTATATTTGGGAACAAGAGCGAACATAAAGAGGAGGGAGAGAAGGCAGGATCAAATCTTCAAGAGCATTGAGTGATGTAGGACATAGCGGGGATCTGGACTATTTCAGTTTACTTGTGTGGGGGAAAGGGGGAAACATTGGGGTGTAGGATGTAATTCCACAGGAGACATGCTTCTTATTAGTTCCTCTGTTTGAAAATGTTGTTTTCCTCTGCAGTGTGATTCGTCACAGAGATGTTCGGGCTTCTTACTATGGTGTGATAGATAAATTCCGTCTACAAGTGTCCGAGCAGAGCCAGAGGAAAGCATTAGGGAAAAAGGAGATTATTGCTACTCTACTCCCATCTGCAAAGGAACAACAACAACAAAAGGAAGAGGAGGAAAAACGAATAAAAGAACACCTGTCTGAAAGTGTCTTTTTTGAGCAGACTTTGTGTCAACCAGGTAGCTGAAATCTTTTACCCCTCCTGTCTTCTGAATCAATTATAAGTAGCTCAAGTGACTAGAAAGACTAGACTAAAATAAATCTTAAAATAATTCTTTTTACTTACCTGTAAGACTACTGTCATTATCGTTGGGGGATGATAGTGCCGAAGAACCCAAGCTATGGCTGTTCTGCTTATGCTGTCTTGATTAATCGAGACCCTTTGCTGCCCCACGTTTGCATGTCCTACCTGGCAGGGTTCATTCTCTATTCCTCTGGTGCAGAGCTTCTGTTACAGTATGGGAATTTATCTGCAAAAGGATTGTGGTTATTTTTCCTGTGGGCTCTTTCAGAACATATGCCCCTTCTGAGTTTCTTCCAAACCCTTAATCCTCCATTTCCTGATGAGCAGGAAATATTGCCAAAACATCTTCTAAAGTGCTCCTTGTTCTGCGCCATCCCCTTTGTCTGTCTCACAAGTATGGAAAAGCACAGTTGCTCGCTGAAAACTCCTTGCACGTTTTGTATGTGAGGAAGCAAGTCAACAGTCTGGAGCAAAACCTGGACTGAACAGTTGAATTGAAGTAAGGGGGGATATAAAAAGTACCGCGTTCTAGCAGAACTGAACCTAAAGTGATTCTTGACTTGACAGTCTACCTTCTTGTTACTTTTACTGATTTATACTGTAATATTCTTGCCACCGTTTTATTTTTCATGACAAGAACAAAAATCAGTTCCAGAAAATAGATGAACCAGCTTGAGAGTGTTCCTTTTGTCAAAACCAAACTGTTTCACTGTTCATGTACAGTTTGACTGGTGAAACACCGTTTACTAAAAAAACCTCAAGATGGGTATTAGGAGGATACACAGTTTAAGCAAACATACAAGATCTCTGGGCTCACTAAACGAAGTTTTGCTCTGATAGTTGTGCTGGTACAGAGGGTTTGAACCATTCTGAACAGTCTGATACTGGTCTTAATTCAAATGCTCTTTCTCTGCTTAAAAACCTCATTGACTACATTGTGTTGCTTGCTTACAGAAAAACAGCTACAGTCTTTGCATATAACATGCAACCTAGAAATAACAGATTTATGGAATTAAAATAGGACACATGTTGCAAGTCACTGAGGATAGAAACACTCGCTAAAAACTTTGGCTGATTTCCAGTGGGTGTTAAGAATTTGGTTAGAGGTATTCAACTAAGATGTTAACAGCTCTTTTCAAAGGTTACACAGTGTGCCTTTGAGTAGGTTCCGGCTGTTAAACTGCAGTGCAGTGACAGTTCTCTATAGTTTGCATTTCCTTATTCTGCTGCTATTGGACTGTCAGAGTGGTTCATTCACAGTTTTTAAAGTAGGAGTGAAATATTACTAATTTGTGGCATATAAACTGGTTCTGGCAGGTGCAGCCTTTGAATCCTCTAAAGAAAGAAGGGGAACTCATCTGGCCCAAGAACCTGTGCTCTTGGTATAGCCAGGTTTTGCTCTGGAGGTATAAGCAGCGATCTGCCCGTGCAGCTCTTTTAGGTGTTCTTTTCTAATTGATTACTAACCACTGAAGGAACATACCAAGGAACGGAGTCAGGATGTGTGGTGAAACCTCAAGGGTTGCTGAAACATCCAGCTGTCATGAGTGTGTATATATAGCTACTGCGCCTGGCAGGCTGTGTCCCTCCAGAAGGGAGGGGTTTGGGAAGTCATGTGAAAACAACTCCCAGCATCAGCACAGGGAGCAGCCTTCTCCACTGCAGAATGCAGAGACTTTAGAAGGGTGGGTTTAAGAGTTGTTTTCCACCCCCTCCAAACTTCAAAGGGAAAAGAAAACCTCAGGATATTGCAGCTCCAATGTGCTGCAAACATTTTTGCAGAATATTTAACACTTAGATGTTCCTTACAGTTGGTTCTATCTTGTTTTTCAGAAAACAGAACTGCCTCGTCGGGACCTAGTTTACTGACAGTCTTCCTAGGAATAGTGTGTATTGCAGCACTAATGCTACCTACATTGGGGGAAATGGAATCCCTAGTGCCTCTCTACCTCCATTTAAGTGTGAATCAAAAGTTAGTAGCTGCTTATGTTCTAGGTAAGTATTTTGGATTTTGTAAATGTTTTCTTGCAACTTCTGTGATTTGGAAAACTTCTATGTTTGCCAGTGGCTTCAGGAAACTTGATAGAGACAAAGCACCATGTTACGTTTTGGTTTGCATCTCCACTTGTATATTAACTTGCAGCCATAGTGATATCAGAGTAAATTATTTATTGTAAGTATTTTAGTTGATCCTTATTATATACAAGCCCCTACATGTTAATTTTGCCTTCATTTGATGACTGGCCAACTGTAGTCGTCTGCCAACAAAACTGAATAGATTGTGCTGTTTCTTATTCTTACATTGGAATAGAGAGCTACTCTGTTGCAGAACCTAGATCTTTTCTGTTATGTTGTCTCGCTCTCCAACCCAGATGAGCTGGTCTGAAAGGCTCCGTTCACTACCTTCTTGATAAGTGGTTGAAATGTGTAGAAATCAGTTGTTAGAAATCCTTCCTAAGAGACCGCCACCACACACAGTTCTTCCTAATTTGTAACTTGCTCCTAAGTTAGCAAGCACAGATAAGCTGCATGTTTCATTTGTTATGACTATTTCAGATTTGAAGAACAGTCACACTAAACTCAATTCTCCTGCCCCACTACCTGGCAGAAATGAGGATTTAAAGGAAAGGAGCTAGGCAGCTTCAGACTGATAGCTAGAGGTGTGGTAGCGATGGGAAAAGGTGCGACTTCTCGGTGTTAATGCACACGTTAGTTGACTGGCTGACTCACGCCAGTCAGACTGCTGAAACGGTTTGAGAACTCACGTGTTGCTCTTTGTCTGAGCTGGTGGTGATGGATTTTCGGATCAGGACCTTGCAGCAATCCTTTCTTTGTTTTAACCTCTAGTTTTGAAAATTGTTCCGGTTTCTGCTGGTGCAACTATGGTATTAAACCGTTTGACTTTGTACATTTGCAACAGCTTAACCTGTTCCTAGATTCACTATGAAGTTCCTACAGGTTTTGATTCCTTTGGTAGCAGCGGTTTTTGTGTTCATGAAAAGATTCTTCCATGTGCAACTTTTGCTGGTGTAGAACATTGATTGCTCTTGAGAAGATGAAACCGCTTTCTTCCACAATGAAGTACAACTGGGTTGTGTAGCACTTCATTGAAAAGGGAGGTTAATACTGCACCAACTGGGCTGTGCAGCATTCAAGAAGTATTTTCTTTACAGAACCGAGTTAAACCCTTTATGGCCTGAAAGTCCCTACGCAAGTGATAAAGGCTGTCCTGTAGCACCTTCCAGGAGCCTCTGTTGTGACTCTGCGATGATTTAGATAATCTAAGCTGAGGCCTCGAGCAGTTGCAGTAGTGCTGCTTGTCTGGGCTAATACAGACCTTAGGAAATAGCTGAACTGTAATTCCTCTTTAATGGATAAATTCCTTGTCTAATGGAAGGCAGCATTACAACTCTGTTCTGTCTTCAAATTCCTTATAAAGTACAGAAGTTAAATCAGCGTGTAGATGGCAGGACAGTAAAATAGAAATTTCTTTATCTGTGGTGAGATCTGTGGGCTTTAGCTAAGCTCCCTGCAGTGAAAGGCTGTTATATTCACATCATCTGAGCCCGCAAGAAAGTGAGGTTGCTTAAGAACTGATAAATTACTATTTTGATGTTGCGTAAGGTTGGAATTCAAGGAGCCCTAATGTTTTTCCATACACCTCTTTGCCTTGTGCAATGTAACTCACAGCTAAGAACTTGCAAGTTTGTACTTTTTCCCGTATCGGCACAGAATTAAAGGGAACTTTTCCATGTGTCACAGGCAGGTTTATTAGCCCTGCATTTCCTGCTTTCATCTGTTATTAATTGCTTTTAACCTCAGTCAGAGCAGTTCTTTTTTTTCCCCTCCCTCTTTAAAGGTTACAACAAAGAATCTGTAGAAAGCTCTCTGTGCGGGCTGGCAGGGAAGCTTAACATCTTTGTCTAAAACTAGTCTTTGATCAGTTACTCTGCACAGAGCAGAAACAAAAATGTCTGGAGCCTTCAGCTGCTCTGCCTTACTGATGATTTGGCATTTGAATTGCACTGCTCAGAACTAGCCCCCATGAAAGCTGTTGGCTCGTGTGCTGGTGTTACACTTACCCAAGTGAAAACCTCTGTTAAGATTTTACAGTAGTGAGATCAGTAATTGTTTGGAGCATTTATGGCTTCTACTTAGTTATTAGATATACTGCACTTCAGTGTTATTTTGTTTTGGTTTTTTGTTTTGTTTTTTACACAGTTTTTGCTACATCAAAATTTGGAGCAATACTTCTAATATTTAAGTTATTTTTTTTAAGTTAAATTATGTATAAAAAAATTTCATTCTGTATGTATTTCTGCCCTTTTGCCTTATTTTCTGGCCTGTGACAGGGTAAACTGCCTTTAAATGTTTTATTCAGTGAAATTGAAGCATTTTGTTCTTAATTCTTGTCTTTCAGGTCTCATCACCATGGTTATCTTGAGAACATGAGCAATGAGTTAATAGGATGTCAAACACCTTACTGTATATTCACATCATGAATGTGGACTGCCTTTTACTCCCATCTGGCTCATTAAGATGCTAGCAAAACTGTTCAGTGATTTAAGATACCTTCAGAAGTGTAATATATTTTAACGATGTATAATAAATGAAAGACTCAAAGCACTTTTCGGTGCTTCTGTAACAGACAGCTATGAAATGTTCAGTGATACCTGTGAAAAATAATTTGAAAAACTTTTATATCTACGCCTACTGTAAAAAATCCTTATTAAAGCAACATTTGTTATTTTTAGTCTATGTTCACATCAGTGCGTGATCACTATAAAAGCAAACTGTCTCATGTAAAATGTTCGTTTGGTGTGTGGCTGTATGTGCCGAGGCTGGTGCATAACACTTCTGTATATGTACCAGAAGGCTGGGAGTCGTGACTAATCCTTGAAGAAAATGAAAACTTCCATCAGTGAAACTATGAAATAAACCATGGATTTCAGGTGAAGAGGTAATTCTCATATTCCTTACTTCATCGTTACCAATATATTGTTGAGTGCTCATTTTCTTACCTGGGGAAATAATTTCTGCAACAGCCATTTTGTATCACAACTGTAGACAATAAAAACAAGTTCTGTGATCAGATCCGTTCATTTCTTAGGGCTGCATGCAATAGGTGAACTAAGTGGCATTAACAGAAGTTGAACTCGCACTGCACGCTAATAGAAAAGTCACAGTTTTTTGTAGTTTAGAGACCAAACTAACTATAGCAACAAAGGCATTCCTCTATACCATCCCTCCCCCTGCAGCTGAGACGGGGGCTTTCTTTTGTGTCAGAAACTTCCGCTCAAATTCCAGTTTTATATTCTAGGTGAACATTTGTCTTGTTTCATGTAACGAGTATTTCCCTTCATTTGACGTTTCATTGTCGAGATGTTAAGCTGAAAAATACTTCTACTGAAGGGCCACTGTTGCTACATTTGATTCATACACACAAATCTTTGTTTATAAGAAATCTATAGAATATGTTCTGATTGTATAAAAAACGTTTTTGGAAATTAAACCTCCTTTCCCCCTGCATGTTATGGTCACTTTTCTGCTTATGCATGGAAGTACAAAGAAACCATGCAGGTAACAGTGTTGCTTAAAAAAAAAAAAAAAAAAAGGAGAAAGGTTGAATTTAAGTTGTTAATCACTGTACATTTTTTCTTATATATAAGTAAGTCTTCAAAGGGCAATAAAATGTTACTTTAGTTTGATTCTCAGAAGAACTGAGATTGTGTCATCTATCAGCGTCAGATGATAAACGTTAATGGTTTTAATAAAAAAACCCCCAAACTACTAACTAGTTTGAAGATGCTGAGTTCCAGAGCCTGCACTGCAGATGCAGTGCTTGTCCCCAGACACTGAGATAGAGTTTGGGTCACTGTTTTCCTGCCACTGTAGAGCTGCATTCTTGTAGCTTCACTGTTGTTGTTAAATACCTACATGGTTCATTCTGATTTTCATGAGGGGGTTTGACCTGCTGCTCCTTGAGGAAGGGCAAGGGAAGTGAACAGACGTTAGGGAGATAAACTGCCCTGTGGTACATTAGCCTGGCTGTTGTGTGTCAAGATACACATTTTACTGTGTCCAGGCTGATTTAAAAAAACCCAACCAAAACAAAACCCACAAAACCACCCTTTTCCCCCATATCCTGGAGTTCCAGTTGTGGGCGAGGATCGCGTTTTGCCAGGCACTTGCAGATGTGCACAGGAGAGAATCCCACAGGTAGGAGCTCAGAATCACTATAACCGAGTCTCGGCACCGGCAGACACCTTAGTCCTGCAGAGCCGTGCACGCGCAAGGGCAGAGACACAGGTGGCCCGCCTTCGTTTTCAAGGAATTTAAAGAGAAGCGATTGGTTTAGAAAAACACCTTGACCAAAGAAATCAGTAACAAAAGTTATCAACAACTAAAAAGACTAAAACATTGGACCATTTCTTTCTCAAGGGTGAGGAGCGATACACAGATAAAAAAAAAAATCAAATGCACATTGTAACTCAGCAGATGCAGATAAAACTGGTGCTGGGGCAAAATAAGCATGAGAAATGTGAATTTTGACTTCTTTCAACTTCAAGGAGCTTACAGCACACTGTATGATCACACATTTATTCCAGTGTTGGTAAAACAAGACCTGAGGGCAGGTTCAGTTCAGCGCTGTGAGGGGAATATATCAAATCATGTTACAGATGGTCACAGGGAGACACAAGTAAAATTTTACCAGGTGGATAGGCAAGATTTGTAAGATATTTTCTGATGCATATATATGTGTATATATGGTGCCAGACCTCTGGTACTTACTTAATAGGGTTATGGAAAACACTGAATGCCTTTAGAAATAAGACCTAAGACAGTGAATATGCCTCCTCTTAAAAACACTAGGAGAGAAAAAAAAAAAAGAAAAAAAAAAAAAAAAAGAGTTAAGCGTTCACATAATTTCCTATTCCTGACTCTTAACACAAACAAAACAGTCATTTCCTTGAAATGGCAAAATATTTTCAGCAGACAGTTAGGAAGGCTTTAAGATCATCCAGCAGAAACAACCATCGTGTTTACCCAGCACTTGCTGTGGCACCAGTAGCTCAAACAAAGCTGGCAGGCAGGAAGTGGGAGTGCTGCCGAGATCGCTTTCGTGAGCGTCACTCCTAGTAGCTACAGGCTTGGTACAGGATCTCCTCTAGATGTTTGCACTTGTCTGGATCAGAAAACGCTTGGACATCCTTATTTTCTTTAAAGGAATGAATCGCGGAATGCTTAAAACTACGACAGACCAAATATAACTGTTTCAGAGCTCCAGGGACGGACGAGGCTTTCAGATCGTTAGTTCATTTCACCAGGGATCGCAGGTGATGGAGCCCCACCAAGACTGGAGCAGCCTCACAAGGAGATCACCTGGAAACAGACCCAGTCCCTGCAAAGGGAAATGCTCAGCTGCTGCTGACATTTCTCAAAGCATGCCCCAGGAAGGTAACCAAGCACAGTGCCAGCTGGTAACAGTCACAGCTCTTATTTGAACAGCTTAAAACGGTGGCATTTGCAGCAGCTCCAAGAGAAACCCCTGCACAGAACTGTGCCTTCAACAACAGAGAAATCCTTCCTGGAATCAACTAGCTAAGAATTGTCAAAGCCAATCGCATGTCCTTTCATTTTATGTTCATATGTAGGAAGTATCTGATAACCAACAAGCTTAAACTGGAAAGAGGCTGCCAAATAGGTCTGACAATAAATCACCGTATTTTTGTCAATGTATACTTAAGATACTTGGCTTTCCTTGTAACAGCTTTCCTTCTAAACACCAAGTTCCATCACCCCTTTCCTTTGTCAGGAATCTCCTACTTCAGACTTAGATGCGTTGGTAAGCCATCCCACTGGTAGGGCGAGACTAGAGAAGGGAACTTGCCTGAGCCAGCCGTAAAACAGAGCCAGGGATACTTTATTTACAGGCAAGTTTGTTCTCGGTGCCGAGTGATATATACTTCACAGGGCCTGTGGTGATCCAGGGCAACCTCAAAATTCAGGGACCAAGCTGTACAGAAGGTCTTAAAAGAAACCTCAAACCTTAAATCATCTTCTCTGCCAGCAGGGAGTTTGAGTTCTTAGGTCAGGGCAGCTCAGGTACTTTGCCCTCTAACCTTATATGAGGCCATCCTGGCCAAAAAAAAGAAGTTGTAAAGGAACAGACTGCAACACATAGCATGCGGGGCTGTGTAGTCATAGAAAAACAGGTTCTCTCCTACGTCCCTGGGAAACAGGGCACTTGCCTCCTCACGGTAGTGCTAGAGAAGACACCATCTCTCATCAGAGCTGGAGGAGAAACATCTGAAGTTAATGGCGCTGGAGTGTATCTTCCCTGTAAGCGCAGCTTGCTGCCTGAGGAAATTAAACTCAGGCTGAAACAGTTGAGGAGGATGAAGTATGCTGTAGCCAGCAGCATATCACTTGCTTAGTACTGCTCCACGTAAGTGAGTGAGAACTGGGAAACCATTTGCTACAGGGTCTAGCAAGAGCCATTTAAAGATAACGGAAATGCGAGTGAAAGCAGTCTAGAGAACCTGTGTCTCCTCAAAACATGAGTACTGAACACAGGCAGGCAACACTCACAGCGTAACAACTAAAGCCAAGTAAGGGGATATACTCACTGTTCGGTCTATTTTTGTCCTCTACAGAAGCTCTCTGCTGTATGCTAACTAGCTGTTTATTTTGGATAATGAACTGTAGCTAATGCCTATCAGCTCTTGAAAATCTGCAAAGCCCTATAACCACGCTGACAATACGATGTGGAATTACATGCAGGCAAAGTAACACACGCTGGTGTTCCAAACAGCAGAGACTCTGCAAAGGAGTAATTTAAGCAAGAGCACAACCATGATTATAGCAACACAGTCAAAGCAACGGATGATCTCACCATGAGGAAAAAGGCCCACCTGAGTCACAGGCCCCCTGTAACACCTCTGTTGTGCAGTGTCAATTTGGGCACATTTAACTGCAGTCACCCCGATCCCAGCAGAACAAGGGATACTAAGAAGGAACAAAGATGACTGATGAAATGCATAGCAAAGACATGGAATAAAAGAACCAAGAGTCTGTAATGGAACTTAAATCCACGTTTACAGGTTGTGTTTTGTTTTGTTTTTTAAAAAAGAGGAATTAACTATAATTTACAAACACAAAATCAGAGCATTCTTCTCTAGGAAACTGTAGATACTCAGGGTATCTACATCCAAACATCAAGGTCCAGACATCAAGGTCCAGACATCAAGGCATTAGCCAAGCATACGCTTTGACAAACAAGAAACCTCCATCAAGAGACAGACAAAACCCCACAGTAAGGCTCTGGAATCCTATGTTCCATCAACATCACCAAAGCCATTAGTGCCTTTCCCTCAGGAATCTGCCAGGAATCTCCAAAATCAAAACCGACTGCTGAAGTGAACACACTTAAAATGAAAGGATCTTGATTTATTGTTAGCAGGAAGTGTCTCGGAGCAATTTCAGTGCCACACAGCCTGATTTAAGCTGGCTTGGAAGACAACACAGAACGCTATTTCTGTGCCACGATAAACAAGGCATGGTACGTACACCATGGTTTTGCTTTTTCTCCACACAAGTGGAAAAACCAATCACGAGAACCACATTCCTGAAGATTAGTACCTGCAGCAAAAACCGCTCCTGTGTGAGAAGCTCTTCCTACTTAAGTTGACATCCAACAAAATTCTGAACTTTTACATGCCATTATTCATCATGGAAGGAATTCTTAAGCAACGAGCATTTTCCAAGGCTCTTATGAAGTAAAAGAAGAAACTAAACTAGCAGAAGAATTTTAAATCTGATAAATGCCAGATTTGTCTGAGGAATCTTCATGGGATTGGGGAAGTCTCACCAGTTCCTTGAGAGTCACAGTGGAACCAGCATGAAGGGGCCGTGTTTGGTTTTGGTTTAAATGCACTCAGCTCCTCCCCACTCTGAAATGTCT